CTTCCTCGCCCGCAGCGCAGCGTTGCAAGCGGCGCCGCCAAAGCCAGCTTGCGCGCCGCCAGGCCTGCGCTTTCCCGGCCGCTTTGCCAACCAGGAAGCGGAGCAGGAGGAGCCACGGCCGCCTCCGCCTCTTGGCCTCCAAGCGGGGCGGGGGGGTGGGGGGTGGGACGGAGCTGGAGGAGCCCAAGCCCGGCCCGGTTGCCTCCGCCTGGCCTGGCCCCGGCGGTGGCTGCGGTGGAGATGGACGGGGCCGGCTGGGCACCTCCGCAGCTGGAGGATTTCTTGCTCACCGAGCGGTTGGGCAGCGGCACCTACGCCACCGTCTTCAAAGCCTACAGGAAGGTAAAGCCGGGGAGCCCCCTTTTTGCCCAGCCCTGCTGGGGCCGGGTAGCCAAAAGTGGAGCCTCCCCTGCCCGAGGAAGTCTACCTGGAAGGGCAACAACCTGCGCGCCGATTCTTGGGTTGGGGACGCGCGTGCAAAAAACAAAAACCTTGGGGAGCCAGTTGGACAGGAGTCTTGGGGGGGGGGGGATGATTCACACACACACACACACACACACACACACACACACACACACACACACCTCCTCAGGGGTTTCCTAAAGGTTGTGGTCTTGGAGCCCCTTCCCACTTTGCCCCAATGAGGGTCGAGTTTTGGGGTGCAGGGATTATCTGTGGATTTGGTTTAAAAGTGAAAGCGGAGGCGTGCGCAAAATCCTGATGGGTTGGATGGCGCAACAACGACCGAAAGCAAGGAAATGTTAAGAAGGGTGGGATATTTTTCATGAAGAACAAAACAAAACAAAACCAAAAAAACCACCACCCCTTCCCATATTTTGTTAGCAGGTTAAAAAAAAACAATCACAGGGAGCAGAGAGGCGTTTGTTGGTTGGTTTGTTTGTGTATTATGTATATGTATTTATTGATTTGATTTGTCAATCGCTTACAAAATAATAGGTATAAGTATAAACATGAGTAAGGATACAGAAAATAGGTACGATTAAATGGGGACAACAGGACAGGGATGGGAGGCATGATGGTGCACTTATGCATCATAATAAATAAATATTAAATACATTATTATAAAATAAATAATAAATATGTATTTATTTATTACAGTTTTCTTCCCACCCATCCCCCCTACCCAGGGTTTTTAAAAAAAACCCATTCTTAAAAGCTAAAAAATATAAAGTATAAAACAATTAGTCCCTTTTAATAATTTAAACAATGCAGCCCAAAGACAGACAGGGGTAGATTGCAAGCATTTCGTCCTGACTCATCAGTAACCTACATTACAATAACCCGGTGAAGATCAGCCTCAAATATAATATGAGCTATGAGATGTCGACTCATAAAATATTAGATCTATTTTCACCATGTTGTAATGTAGGTATTGATGAGTCAGTGCAAAATGTTTGCATCTACCCCTGTTCGTCTTTTGGCTGTATTGTTTAAAATATAAAATAGCCAAGGTTGAAAAACATTTTAAAAAGCTAAACGATATAAAATACGCACGGTTAAAAAACATTTTAAAAAGCTAAACAATATAAAATACCCAAGGTTAAAAAACATTTTAAAAAGCTAAAAAATATAAAATACCCAAGGTTAAAAAACATTTTAAAAAGCTAAACAATATAAAATACGCAAGGTTAAAAAACATTTTAAAAAGCTAAAACATAAAATACCCAAAG